TTACTCATATACTCGATCGGTCTCAACTTTGGCCCCTCCTGTTGTGCAAGGACAGCGCCAATGCCATATTGGTTGGCGTCTGTTGTCACGACAAACGGCTTGTCAKGATCGGGAAGTTTGAGAACTTCATAGTGTGTTAGAGCATACTTCAATTGCTTGAAGCTTGCCTCACACTCTTCAGTCCACTCCCAAGGGGTGTCAAGTCGAGTAAGATCTGTCAATGGGGAAGCTATAGTACTAGAGTTTTTCACAAACGGACGATAGTAGCCCGTCATCCCCAAAAACGATCTGACCTCAGTAACAGTTTGAGGTCTGGGCCAGTCATGTATGTTGGCCACTTTCGCATCTTCTGGCCTCAATCCATCTACTGAGATTTCATGACCCAAGTACAAGATCTTGGTGCGACCAAACTCGCATTTATCCAAGTTTACCTTGTACTGGTGCTGTCTCAGGAGACCTAGCACTATTTTCAAGTGCTCAGCGTGCTCCTCTACAGTCCTACTGAAGATGAGAATATCGTCGAGGTACACGACGATAAACTTGTCCAAGTAGTCATGAAAGATCTTATTCATCGCGTGCTGGAACGTACCAGGCGCATTGCATAGGCCAAAAGGCATCACCACAAACTCGTACAGACCGTATCTGGTTTGAAATGCGGTTTTGTGTTGGTCCTCAGGCCTAACGGCAATTTGATGGTATCCGGACTTCTGATCTATCTTTGTGAAGTACCGACATCCCTGCACTCTATCCAAGAGGTCGTCAATGCGGGGTAGGGGCTCCGCGTTCTTTACGGTGATGCCATTGAGGCCCCTATAATCAATGCACATCCTTAATGGACCTCCCTTCTTAGGAACAAATAAGACTGGCGCACCGTAAGGGGAGGTACTAGGCCGTATCCATCCCTTCTCTGTGAGCTCTTTAAGCTGGCGGCGAAGCTCATCTAACTCCGCACGAGACATCCTATAGATTCGTCCTCTAGGCACCTTACTACCTGGGACAACCTCTATTGCATGGACCACCTCCCTTTCCACCACGCCTGTGGGCTCCTAAAAAAGGTCTGAATATTGAGCGACGACTTTTTCTATCTCTGGGGGTGATTTTTCGGCCTCCCCTTTCTCAGAGACAAAAACTAGATACATGCCTTCCTCGCGATTCTGTTTACAATAGTTATAGAAAGATGATGCACGCATGCACCCGTAGTTTTCTATTAGACTGCTAGCTTTGAACTTCTGCAATCTAACAGATCCACCGTTGGGCAACTTGTGAATCAATACCTTTCTATCCCAGTCCAACTGTGGTTTCGCGGCCATATCGAAAGGAAGTTCGTCGCTAACCAGGAAGGAGATCTTGTGGACCACTTCCCCTCCTCCATAGGAGAAGGAACAGGCTACGTCCTTGACATAGTCTTTTACTACCATCTTGTGCTTATTGGCTAGCGTAGAAGCTACAGTTCTGCTAAGCCGTTGCACTTGGTCTCCTAAGCGCAATCTATCCACACAAGCACGACTGATGAAATTTCGTGTAGAGCCTGTGTCTGCGAAGGCGCCAATCTTGCGGCCACCTACATCTACTTCTACCACGAAATGTTCACCCTTTGGACCTCCACTCATCATCGCCCAAGAGTCCTTGGGGTCCTTCCCTGACCACTCAGTCTCTAACTCTTCTAGGGCCTCAGACACATCTTTCGAACAGAGCGTCGGTGGGTTTGTATGTGTCTGCGGGGCGATACGTGGGTCACTAGCCTTGGCCAACGCCTGAAGTGGGGAAGGCAACGTTACCACTTCAGCGCGAGTAAGAGCGGCTAACACTCCTACTGGCCCGAGGTATTTCCCTGTGAGCTGCTCGCAGAAGCACTTCCAGGGTTCGAAAGTAAGCCCACCACCGTTGGTAAGGCTACCTTCGTTGTGACTTTTTTGTCGCGGCAAGTCCTGGACGTGTGGCCAGTCCTGGACGTGTGGCCAGTCCTGGACGTGTGGCCAAAGTTGCCATAGTTCATGCATGTACCCCTAGCAACGCGGTCACGCCACACCTCGTATTCTAAACCAATCTTCACCCATGCGGGTGTTCCTTGGTCGCCCTGACCCGTGGACCGTACT